GGGAGAGGTTTGGAAGCAGCTGTTGGGGAGAGGCAGTGAGAGGTCAGCAGGAGCTGGGGTGGTGGTGCTGAAAGAACTTGTGGCCTCCGTTGGCACCTACCTCAGTGCCTGGCTGGGTCCACGGTCCAGCCTCTAGGCACAAATTCACCCTTTGAAGCTGAACAAATATCTGGAGATGTGGACAGAGAGATGGAGGAATGGGTACAAGTGACCAGTTGGCTGGGCCAGTGTCACAGGGAGAATGCAGTTGGGTGTTAGCTATAAACACTTGACACCCTTTGGCCCGGTGTGGTAGCCTAGCGGCTGAAGTCCTTACCTTGCACACACCGGGACCCCATAGGGGTGCCGGTTCTAATCCCAGCAGCCCCACTTCCCATCTAGCTTCCTGCTTTTGGCCTGAGAAAGCAGTCAAAGATCACCCAGAGCCTTGGGACCCTGTACCAGCATGGGAGACCCGGAAGAAGCTCCAGACCCCAGGCTTCCAATTGGCTCAGCACCAAGCCTTTGCGGCCACTTGGGGAGTGAATCAACAGATGGGCGATCTTCCTCTCTGTCTTTTCTCCTTTCTGTATATGTGACTTCCCAATTAAAAACAAAAAAACTTGACTTCTGCTGTCCCAGAACTGACTTGTGGCAGGTGCCCACACAGAACCAAGCCACAGCAGCCACTCGGGGCTGGCTAGAGAAGCCTCATCTTCCACCTGCCTGTGAGTCCTGGCCAGAACCACCCCACCTGCACCCAGACAGTGGGGGGACCCCTGGTCATGTCCCACCCTGGGCCTGTGTCTCTACCTGCAAACGCAGTCCCAGCCAGGCAGGAGTAGGGGGCAGGGCCTGGGTGAAATGACATCTCCAGTAAGGAAACCGCTAGACTTCCCCTAAGTGTATCTGAGAAACAGCCACATGGATGGCCGGGTGGGGAGAGGGTGGGGCATGGAGAGGGCCCGTCTGGGTTTGCACTTGGTCTGTCAACAGCCACATCCTGAGCTGTCGCCTCGGGTTCCGCTGGGGGAGGGCCACAGTTCTCAGACAGCTGCACAGGCCCAGCGTGCGTGCGCCTAGGAGCCCAAAACCAGGCTGTCCCCAGGATGCCCGGGGCCTGCCCCTCTCGCGGTACTGAGTCTCACCAATGAACATAGGATTTGAAGGGTGAAGTCACCACCCACAAGGGACTGCCACCAGCCTATGACCTGTCATCCAGTTCAATAAAAGGGCAGCACAATCTGGAACACAAACCCAGCAAAATCAGGGCCAGCTCTGTGTGAGGGCCTGAACAGAGCATGCAAAGGGCTCAGAGAGGGAGGGGTGGTAGATTCTGGGGGCACACAACGGGGGTGGGGACGACATGAAATGCAGTCCTGGCATCAGATGTTATCTCTATGCAGCCACCAGCACACAGGAGGCAGAAAGCCCCAACTGCCATGGCTGCCATAGCTTTTCCTTTAGAAGTAAAGTGGAAGAGGCTGGCTGCGGTTCCGGAGCCTGATTCTGACACACTCGCTCTCCTGCAGCAGGTCCCAGGCCCAAATTCCTCATTTCACTCACCTTCTGCTTCCCCATCTGTGAGATGGGCAAGAAGGGTGACTGCCCTGGGAAGCCCAAGGAGCAGAGGCTGGCATCCAGGACTACTCCCTAGGTGGGATATTAACAAGGCCACATCCCCAAGCACCCCAGGATTTTAGCCTCGCAGGGGACCCCAGTCCCCAGACTCCTACTCCATGGGTTCAGAAGAGCTCAAGCCCACCAGGATCCCACCCCTCAGCCCATGACACCCAGAGGATTTCCTTCACACACAAACCCCAGGCCAGATGGGGTCTCTTGCCATCTCTTCCTTCAGGATGACTCTACTTCCAGATGAGCAAGCTGAAGTCTGCTCATGCCAAGTGTGAGCTTGCCCTGACCCTCTGCCCCTCCAGATGGCCCTTCTCACAGGAAGAGGTGGGCAGTATGGTGCCAGGGGCTCTGGCCAGTGCAGGTTCACCCATACCCTTACCCAGGCACATTTCATACCATCACCCAGCAGACAGGGTCAGCAGGATCTGGTCCCCACGTCCCCAATGGCTGCAGAACCAGGCCCACCTGGATTATTCAGACAGGTCTTCTGACCGCCAGCCTCTCCTTGGCAACCCTCCAGCCGAGACCCTTGCCATCTGCGCCTGCCATCTTGACAGCCCTGCACTGTAATTGTGCCTAACAAGGCAAATCCACCTGCCCTCCATGGCTGAAAATCTACCCGCAAGAACACTGCTGCCACCCCATTCTCCCTTCTGTGCATGCAGCACCTGAAGAGGAGATGGGGAACCATGCTGGAGGCCCTGCCAGCCCTGAACCCTCGCCCTTCACACCCAGTGCTAGGACATTTTTTTTTACTGCTTCCTGGAAGCCCACTTTTCCTTATGCAAATAAATCTTAAAGAACAGGGAGAACATCAACAGAAAAAAATTAAGTAAATGAATTTGACGCAAACAAGTACTAAAGTCACACAAGGGGCCAGCATTGTGGTGGGGCGGTCAAGCCACCGCCTGTAACTCCAGCATCCCACCTCGCAAGACCAGTCCTGGCTGCATCACTTCCAATGCGGACCCCTGCCCTAACGTGCCTGGGAGAGCGTGTCCCTCGTGCCTAGGTTCCTGACAACCCACACGGGACATCCAAATGGAGTTCCTGGCTCCCAGCTTCTACCCGGCCCAGATCTGGCTGCTGCAGCCACTGGCGAGTGAAGCAGCAGGTGAAAGCCGAAGGAAGATCTCTCTCTGCTGTTGTGCCTTTCAAATAAATCAATCTTCAAAATCTAAAAAGCACCCCCCACCCCGACTCCCCTGTGCTCCTACAGATCCCCACATCCCCTGCCGGCCTACCTGACAATTCTGCTCAGCCCACCTCACCCTGGCACAAGGAGGAATGCAGGTTTGGCCTGGGTGGGGCCCTTTCAGCCAGGGCCTCCCACTGCCAGCAGAATTAGAACGATTCTCAGAGTCAGAACGATTCTCAGAGTCAGAACGATCCTTGCTTGTTAATCTTTTATCTGGAACCTTGGACCACAGGCCAGTCCCTTCTGTCCTCCTTCCTGGCGCCCACGCAGCCCCCACACCCTGACCTTGTAACGCTCCCTGCGGTGCTGGCCAAGGATCTGAGAATGGAGCGGAGGCAGTTCTGGGTCCCAGCCTCACGAGGCCTTGACAGTGAGCCCCTGTGTGATGTTGCCCAAGCTTTCTGTTTCCCTGGAGGTCTAAGGGCAACTTACACACCTACAGGTCCTTCAGGGAGCGGAACCCCAACAAGACCCCAGCAGCAGGGCATGTGGCCCCAACACCTTGTCCGCAGGCAGGCTCCGTTCCCTCAGGGGGCACTGTCCTCCGGAGAGCCTGCGCTGCTGCCTCACTTTGTGGCCTCCCCTCCAGGACAGAACTGGGCTGGTTCCAGGGGAGGCCGAGTGTGCCCCCACCTCCCCATCGCAGTCCCTCCAGCTTCCAGAGAGGTATGCCTCCTCCAGGAGTGCAGCCAGCAGCCATGCATGAGGCTACTGCCAGGTCTCAGGGACCCACAGCCTTTCTTGCTTCACACGAGCTCCAGCTGAACCTCATTCTCCCCCTCTGTAAAATGGGCACAGCAAAGCTCAGTGGTGGAGCTAGAGAGGAAGCCCAGACGAGGCCCACAGAGCAAGCCCTCCCTGGTCTAACAGTCTCCTGCTGTGCCCTGCCCCCCTTCGAGGAGTTTCCCCCAAGGTCCATTCTAGGGGTGACATGGCGGTCACCTTAGGGGATGTGAAAATGTCCCCAACACCCACAGCCTCCTTCCATCCCTTCATAGGGAGAAGCTGGGGCTGGTGCCAGATGACCACCCTGCCTCAGGATTAAAGCCCTCGCTGAGCTCCACACAAGCCTAGTGGCAGGTCCACAGGGTCCACCACAGCAGAGCACACAGGGACACTCAGGCAGGGGGTAACGAGGACCCCAGAACTCCCCAGCAAGGGATCCAGTGCCTAGTCAGTGCTCACATAGCAAGATTGAAAGGCTCTGGGGCCTGAGGAGCAGAGATGAGCCAAGCCAGGTCAGGGCAGGCCAGGGGCTGAGATCCCCCACTGAGGTGCCTTTCCCAAGCAGCACTTTGTATGCAAACACAACAGAACCCTTGGCACTCCCAGGCCCTCCCTCTACCACTGGGGCACTTCTGGCAAGTCTCCCTCAGGCAGCAACTCACAGGCCCTCCTGGAGTGTGGGAGCAAAGGGATCCGGACCCCAGCACCAAATTAAGCACCACATGCATTATCAAAACAGACCAAAGTCAGAGTCTTGGCGGGGACGCTGCCAAGGTCTCTTAAGTTTCGGTGCCTCAGTTTCCCCACCGACCACTTCCCCCTACTCCAGCCGGCCCCCGTCCTGGGGAACTGCAGGCTCCCCTGGGGCCTGACCTAGCCCCCGCCCTCCAGACCTCAGCTTCCTCCTGGTGCAGAACGCTAGAACCCCGCGCCCAGGCCCCTGGGGAGTGGTGCCCACGACCTTGGAGGCAGCTGAGACCGGGTTCCGGTTTGGTTTCTGTTTCTGAAGTGCTCAGACGTGGAAACAGGAATGCAAAGCCCACGTTCGAACCCCCTCGCCCCCCCCCCCCCCCCCCCGCACTGCAGGTGTAGCCTCTTCAGCACATTGTCGAAACTAACACTTTAAAAGTAACTTAACAGCCTGCGTGCTCCTCCTTCGGGAACGTGGGACTGGGGCTCAGCCAGAGCCCCGCGAGGACGCGGCCGCCGCCTCCTGCACCCAAGCAGCCGGCCCCTACCCACCTCGCGCGAGGTGCCACCAGGTGAGGCCGGTTCCCACTCGCAAACGGAGCCGCTGCTGCTTTCAGCGGCTTGCGTCCGGCTTCCGATCCGTGCGCGGAAGCCCCAGAAGGGTCCGAGGTCTCCACAGACAACCCAGACAGTGCCTCCCGACCTCCGGCAGCGCCCACTCCCCCCTCTCCTTTCCCGTCTGTAGAATGGGCTCAGGGCCCCAGGACCTCACCTGCGCGGCTCCACGGGGGCGCGGTGGTGACCCAGGCCCGCCTGCGGGGCCTAGCCCTGCCACGGAGGGTCGCGGCAGCCCCGCGCATCCTGCGCGCTCCGCGCCTCGGGCCCTGGCCTTGCGGGGTCGGGGCGTAGTCATGCAAGGGGCGGGGAGGCCTGGGCCCCGCCCCGGCAACCCTACAGCCGCTGGAAGGGGGGCTCCCCGCAGCCCCACGCGCCCCTCCCATCGGGTGCCTCCTGCCCAGATCTTCTCATCCTCACCACCAGCGGTTTCGCTGTGTTTTTTTTTGTGTGTGTGTGTGTGATTAGGGTTTTGAGTTCTCAGGGTGTACAATGCCGCAGGTACCACAAGACAAAAGAGCAAAATCCTTCCACCCCGATGGTTTGGGTCTGGACTCTGACCTTTGCCCCTACCCCACGCTGGGGGGTGGCAGCGGATCCAACTCCTGGGGCCTGGCTGGGCCCTGCCTGCTTCTGACTGGGCGCTCCTGCTGAGTGCACCAGCAGGGGCCTCTACTGGACCGCTGAGCCCAGAGTCCAGCTCGCTCTTCCCTCTGGCCCCACCCAGCCCAGGCCGGAGGAGGCCGGGTGGGTGCTAATCTAGACTGCCTGCCATTGGTTTCTGCTCACTGGAGCCGCCTTAGCAAGTGAAGTTTGGGCTGGGGCACGTCCCTACCCAGCCGAGGAAAAGCAGGTGCGATGCCCTGGGCAGCCCCTGCCAATGCGTTCGGGCTCCCAGAAAACAGAGTTTGGTGTGACAGGTGGGAGACCCTTCTACCTTTCCTGTCCTTAGCTTGTTCCCAGGAGCATACACAAGGTCTTTCTGCAGTTTCCCTGATGTAAAACTAAGGCCGTGGGCTTCCCAAGCAGAAGCATCGGCAGAGCCCACTCCAGCCCAAGCTAGGACCTGAGAAGTCCTTGCCAGACAGCCTGGAGCCCACCTCTGGGTTGGCCCCACCCCAGGGGCAGTGGGGGGAAGCAGAGGGCCCGCTGGAGCTGGGGGGAGGCGACTCCTCATGCAGCACGCTGAGGCCCCCCACTCCAGGACTCCAGCAGTGCTGGCCACCCGGCGGTAAAGGGTGTGTATCCTAGCTCTCCGTGACAAGGGACCGCACTGGACCTTGAAGTGACCTGGTCTCACAGTTCAGGGGTCAGCTCCTGTCAGGTCCCGGGGAGCCCTCTGGCTCCAGCCTTGGGCAGCGCCCCAAAGTGACCAGCCTGTGGCAGTGTGACATCTGTGCTCACCAGGCCTTCTCCTATGTCAGCTTCCTGTCTGAGGCCACCATTCCTCTTGGATCAGAGCGCACCCCAATGTTGTTTCTTGATTAGATGCGTGTGGCCTTTCCCCATTCTTGGGCACTGGGATGGTTGGGAGGCTGGTTATGGCTCTCCCCTGATGTCTTCCCTCTCCCCAGAAATAGGAAGAATAAATGGAAAGTTTGGAAACCATGATCACTCCCACTAGCCCTGGATCCCTTCCCACCTTATCAACTATGTAAACATCATCTAAAATAATAATAATAAAAAAAAGTGAAATTAATTTTTTAAAAAGTTGTGCAAAGACCTTATTTCCAGATGAAGTCATACCGACAGACACTGAGGCTCAGGGCCTCAGCATGTGCATTTTGGGGGGGCACAGTTCAGCTCATAGCAGGTGGTGTCTGGGGGGACAGAGCTGTGGGAGGCTCCCAGGGTTGCTTCTGGAGGAAGACCTGTGACCTCCTGCATCATGCCATTACCCTTTCTAGGACCTTCAGGCAAGACTCCCTGGCAGCCCAGCATCTCTGTGGGTCATGTGCAAGGAGGGACATAGGGATAGGAGGGGGGAAGGCACCAGACCATGGGGCAAACAGATGGCCTGGCTTGGGCTGCCTTCACCCATGGCATCCCAAGACAGGATCAGACTGTCACACAGTCACCCTGCCACTTTCCCGGGGCCATTGAGAGACGTGGGACATGCAGCCTGGGGCAGGCCTCTCCCTAGCATTCTGACTCCCAGCTCTCTGCTCTTCAGATGCTCGAGTCCCCCAGTTCTCCACAGCAGCCCCAGCCTGGCAGCAGCATCCAGGCTATGCCTGGCTCTCTGTCTCCTCCTCCTCCAGACCTTAACTTCCTCCTCCAGGGAGACCTCCTTGATGATACTGTGACCTCAAAGAAGTATTCGTGCCACCTTGTCCAGAAGGCCCACCCCATGTCCTGTTGGTGAAGCTGAGAAGACACACAATCAGCCCTCGGCCTTCTGGCTGAGATCGGGTGAGAGGAAGGGAAACATTACTGGTGTGGTAGAAGCAGAGGAGGCTGGAGGAGGCAGGGGAAGAAGTCCTGCCAGGTACACCCACTCAGAGCTGGCCAGAGCTGCAGCCCCTCCTCCTCCCTGCTTGCAATTGGGAGCACGTGGGACGCCTGCAGTGATGGTCAGATGGATGGACTGGCTGGGAGGCAACTGGGAAGCAGGAACATCTTGCCTGTGCCCTGAATCTCATATTCCACCTTGTAAAATTGGTGTCTCCCGTGTGAGCTGCTAAAAGTTCCAGAAGATCAAGATCTGCCCCGGGGGGGGGGGGTCTGCTCTTCTCCCAGAGAAGCCTCCTCAATCTCCCAGAGTCCCTGGTGGCTCCGGAGAGGTTGGACATGATCTTGGTGGTGACACTGGGCTTTTGATGCGATGTGTTCCCTTGGAATTGGATAATAATTGAATAAATGTAAAATGCATTTTGTGACCTGGGCCCTGACCACTGGGCTATTCTACCTGGTCATGCCTGCATAAGCAGGTGATGGCCCAGGTGACAATGAGCCTCTCTATCCTCAAGCTGGGACATGATGACTCAGGGACAGGCAGCAAGGCAGCCTGCAGGGAAGGGGGGTGATAGGTTCACAAGGTAGGTGCTGTGGAACACCTGCTATCATGCCAAGCAGGTCAGGAGCAGGGACAGAGCCAGACACAGTTGGGACAAGTCCAGAGGAGGCTGTTCCTGGTGTGGATGCTCTTTCTGCCTTTCTTTTGGCTCCAGTTTTCTGAGCTTGCTACAAAGAGCGAGCATCTCCTCTCTAATCAGAAAACAGGAAACAAAGCCACTCTCCCTTCTGTGAGTGTCAGTGGTCCCACGCAGTCCTAGGGCCCTCCGGATCTGCCCTGGCCAGCAGCTCACAGCTCGGGGAGATGGAGCCTCAGCTGAGAAGGTGGTCCTGGGGATTCGTCTCGTTATCCAGATCTGAGGAGCTCCCATGGAAGGCTGGAGATCCAGGAAGTGGGCCTGTGCTGTCACTGGCTGAGATTGCGTGTAGCTAAGCTGAGAGGTAAGAAGGTGCACGGGTGGGTCAAGGACTCCAGGGCCTTAATGCTCGTGAGTCTGTTAAGCTTCTTTAGGCCTGGCACTGCCTTGTAAGCAGAGAAGGCCTGAGAGTCACTGGAGAAGTGTGAAAACCCTGTCCCCCACCTGCACGCTTCCCCCTGACGGCCAGCCCCTGAACTCTGAAGGTGTGTCCTGTAGCCCTAGTCTATAGTGGCCCCAGGGAAGCCTGCCCCTCTCTCTGGGCTCTTTGTCATTTCCCGGGGCGACAGCCACACCTGCTAGTAGTCAGGGGTCTCCATCTGGGCCCCCTTAGAAGCCCAGGCTCAGAGCTGGGTGCACACCTGTTAAGAAGGCATTCCTAGGCCTCCTGCAAGCTTCTAGGAAGGGCCCAGTTACAGATGGGGAAACTGAGGCTGGGGGTGAGGCTCAGCCCTAACTAATGCAGCTTAACTCAGACCTTCTCGCTGTGGTCTGGGCTTGGGCCCTGCCATGGGAGGCAACCTGGTTAAGCCTGTTACCTGGGTTCTCCATGCCTCAGTTTCTCCACTTAGGAAGTAGGCATGCAGGGACTCCTGACTCACAGCCAGAGGAAGATGAAATGGAACAGGAAGGTGCCAGGCAGAGCTCTCCCACCTCTGCGTGTGTGTGCCCTCTCACTCTGCGTGGGCCTGCAGCTCCACCATTTTTTCTGTTTCTTCCTCTTTTGTTTAAATTTATTTATTATTAGGAGAGGAGAGAAATCTTGCATCTACTGGTTTACTTCCCGAATGGCCACAATGGCCTGGTTACTAAAGCCAGGAACTTTATCTGGTTCTTCCATATGGGTGTGGTGGTCATCTTCTGCTACGTTGCAAGGCCCTGAATAGGGAGCTAGGTTAGAAGTAGAGTAGCCAGGACACAAACTGGTGCCCGTATGGGCTGCTGGCACTGTAGGTGGTGGCTTAACCCACCATACCACACACCAGCCCCTCTTTTTAAAACCCTTCTTTTTTTTTCTGAAGCTTTATTTATTTATTTTATTTGAAAGGCAGATTTAGGGCCTTGCACATAGTCTAGTGGCTGAAGTCCTCACTTTGTCTGCTCCAAGACCCCATATGGGCACCGGTTCTAATCCTGACAGCCCCACTTCCCATTTAGCTCCCAGTCTGTGGCCTGGGAAAGCAGTAGAGGACGGCTCAAAGGCTTGGGACCCTGCACCCATATGGGACATCTGGAGGAGGTTCCAGGCTCCCTGCTTCTGCTCAGCTCAGCTCTGGCTGTTATGGACACTTGGGGAGTGAACCATTGGACAGAAGATCTTCCTCTCTGTCTCTTCTCCTCTCTGTATATCTGCTTTTCCAATAAAAATAAATAAATCTTTAAGATAAATAAATCTTCAAAAAATGATTTATTTATTTTTGTTTGAAAGACAGAGACAGAGGGAGACAAAGATCTTCCATCGGATCATTCTCTCCCCAAAGGACTCCAGTGGCTGGAATTGAGCCAGACTGAAGCCAGGAGCTTCTTCTGGGTCTCCTACATGGGATAAAGTGCCCAGTCACTCGGGCCACTCTTCCCTTCTTTCCCAGGCCATAGCAAAGGGCTGGATGGGAAATAGAGCATCTGAGATTCAAATCAGTTCTCGTACGGGATGCTGGCAGTGAAGGTAGAGGTGCTATACCACAGTGCTGGCTGCCCGATTGTTTCCTTTGCTGTGCAGATTCTGTTGTAAAAAATTTTTCTGTTAAGATTTATTTATTTTTATTGGAAAGAGATTTATTGAGAGAAGGCGATACAGAGAGTAAGTTCTTCTAACTGCTGGTTCACTCTCCAAATGGCTGCAATGGCCAGA